GCTTCCTGTGTGTAGCGCCAGGCCCCCCTTCACACCTTGTGATGAGGATGATGTATGTTTGGTCTGCATTGCGACATTGATTGGGCTAGTCATTGGTATTCTAGCATTCCGCTGCGCTGTCTTGTACTACGTGAGAGAGGTCAGTCCCGGTCAGGTCAGGGCTTATATCTGTCTTCCACTGCACTACAAAGTGTCATTTTGTATGTATCAGGATGTACACTGCTTGTTGAGATTCCACTAACATCGCATTGTCCACTCAGTCCTTTTCATCACATTGCGGATCCTTGGCTTTACATACATTGCCCAACTGAGCATGTAACATCTGCCTCTCCCTCCTCCTTGCCCTCCTCCTCCTCCTCCTCCTCCTGCTTCTCCTCCTCCTCCACACACTTCTCCTTTACAATACATGCACTTCCATGTCCATTGTTGCGTGAATTGACTTCAAAGTTCAAAGCAGTGAATTAACGCATGGATATTCTGGACTCCTGACCTTTCTGTTATTTCCAGAAGAGTGGCGTAGTGAAAATGGTGTCCCCTGCTGAACTCTGTTCTATGCTTGCCGGTGATAAGCTACCGGACTGCTGGTCTCCAGAACAGATGGGGCTATCTTCTCTCCACCCCCCCCCCCCAAAAAAAAAGAAAAAAAAAAAAAGAAAATGAATAGAGAAGAGAAGAAACGACAAGAAAATGGTGTCACCTGCCGCCTCCTTTCTCCACCACTTAGCTGGCGCAGAGGCCTGGCCAGCACAGTACCATCACTTTGCCTGACATATGCAGTCTTGTCGATTCTCTCCACTGAGTTCTTGGTAGTCTTTGCCTGGCGCGTGGCGGAAAGACTCAGCCCCAAAGTCCCGCCTGACAACGCTTCCAAGTAGCCTGTCACTCTGTGCTGCAGCTCAGCAAGTGCACCTTCCAACACATAGCTCTGCAAAACATATGGCAGCCATCATCACCAATGTGCGATCAAATCAGCGAAGAAAACGTTCCGTCCAAAAGGATGCCGACGAAACTGCAATCACGTACCAAGGGAGATGGACTGCACACGTTTGGGCATATGCGTTTCGGCATTGAGGTGGAACACCAGGAACACTGATTTACCGACAAATTCAGTCTTTGCCACTCTTTCGTAAATACATGATGTCTGCCCTTTCTGCTTAAAAAAAAAAAAAAAAGAAAAAAAAAGAAAAGGCAGAAGAAGAGAGATGGACTGCACACGCACTGGGAAAGGCAGCGAACAAGAGAAGAGAACTCCTTCACAACCTGGCGGGCAGAAGGGAGGACTGCAGAGATTGAGGCGGGTGAGTTTTTTTTTCGCCATTGACCTCCGGTACATCCGTCAAAATCGGAACGATATAGAGAAAGAGAAGATTAGAACAGCCCCTGAGCAAGGACCACACGCATTAATTGAGAAATGGGGCAATTTTTTTAAAAAGAAGTTCTTTCCTTTTCACCGACAGGCATTAATTCCGACAGCATCCCAGCAGCCAAGATAGGAACACATCGGAGGATCTAGACGCGGGGCAATGAACAATGGGGCGCTGATACCGATAGTGAACCCCAGAAAGCTCAGGGGGCCACCAGTTTACATGCAGGATAGGGCAGGTTTAAGATTTTTTTTGATTTTTTTTTGGGGTATAAGAATTTTGGCATTGGTTGGAATTGGAATCCCATCAGGGGGAGTAAGCCAGCAGCAATGAAAATAGAGCTTCCGAAAAAAAAAAAAAAAAAGAGCTCATTGGACTTAGCCTGGTTAGCCATAGATATCATCCGCAGCGGGCTACACATTTTTTTACCACCAAGAAGCAAAGGATGTGAATTTTCACCTGCATCTGAGAAGGAGGTCCGGACCAGTTGGCCACTGGTGTTATTTATAAGCAGAAAAAGGCAGATGCATGGGTCCTGGAGACCATCTCACGCAAGTGTGTAC